TTTTCGTAATCAGCCCAACGAGCTGTGTATCCAACCATGTGAAAAGAAATGAACAGAAAGACAGTGCTCGAACTTTGAATTATCGGCATCTTAAATTTGACAAACAAATCATATACCGTTCACTCAATATTCATGAGACAAGCGCTCTTATCCTGACACATTGTTGTAAATGTGCATGACTTCAGTTTAATGGACTTCTTGTCCGAGCATCTTTATTTAAGAACAAAATGGCGAACTAAACTTCATGTATCTTGTATCTTAACGGTTGTAAATGATGCTGTTTATACGAGTATCTAAAAAATGTGCGAATTTCTTTTTAAGAAGGATTTCTTCTAAACCATGGTTTCCTCACTATCTTTTCGCTATAATCAATTATCGCTGAAAATATTTTTGAGAATAGAATTTCTTGGGAACAGTCACTTGTGGAAAAACGATATATCACTTCCACTAGGGTTGTTTTACCAATTACACATAATTCATACAATATATTGGCGTTATGTTGTTCCTCTCGTTCATGGTAGAAAACCACAATATATATTCTGAATCTGCAGAGTGTCTGGTATCTATCTGTGAAAATATTTCTTAATTTAGGCTTATGGTTTTGGTTGTTTATGACAAGTGTTTTTCGAGCGGCTATGTTTAGTAAAGTGAGTGCGAAGGTCCAAATTCCACCAAACTTTGCCAAAATATTCTCCTTCCTATCACTTACCATACCTGTTAGCGCAAATCAGCGCAAACATTTCTGGATCGCACAGTGGGTTTTCCAAAAAGCCTTGGTTCTTCAGGTATTTTTCGAATTTCTCGACTCAGGAACACTTTTATCCAAAAATAACGTCATATTTGAAATTAGCTCACTAAACTGTATCGAATAGTGTATAAAATGTCTAATGTTCGAGGGAAATAAGTTTCAATGAGATTTTGGACCCAGATGTTTTGGGCCGAAAAGACACTTTTTTCGAATTTGTTTGTTTTTGATTGATAAGAGTTCTGAGTGCTCGGGGTCATTTTTATGGGAAACGAAAGGACCAGTCAATAAAAATTACATGTCCAACTGCTCTGTAGAAGATGCACACTGTGCGCAGTCATTGTGACGCTTTTATCCAGGCATATCAGTATTTAATATTAGCATTTATTATGGCTTTTATCCGGAATAGGCTACATGGACAGATCAAGAAAACTGTTTTTTCTATTGATCAGAAAAATAAGTAAAATTTGTGTTCCCAGTTAACAAAAGACAATTGTCTCTGTACTACGAAGAAGTCAGCAAAATTGGCATTGGGTGAGTCCTACGCATATCTAACACTGATGAGAGGTTTTGAAACAAAGATCCATAGAATATCGAAGATGAGGGTGACACTAGTTTATCTGTATGTCAAGTTCACGTTGATAAGAGAATGTATCACATGAATCTCAACGGTCCATCTAAAGAATCATTAGCATTCAAATATGTTCCTAAAACTATAAACGAAAAATTCTGAACGATAAATCAAAGCAAAGACTCTTTTACTTATAGAATTCGAGTCGTTAGACTAACTAGGCAATCGTAATCTTAGCATTTTTTAGAATATTTCAGTTTTATAGTTGAGTTTCAGTTATTTCTGATCTCTGCATGACATATTAAGAACAGAAGTACAAAAACGTTTCCGCGATTGTGTTATCCCTTAACCTGTCACAGCTACCATGCCATTCTAAAACCAGGAAAGTGTGGCAGATCAGATTAATTGAATAAAATAGTATGCGTCATAGTATAACAGATATTTAACTAGTTTTTCTTCTTCGATAGATAATGGTTCTTCGTCACATAAAAACTTTTGCTTTCGAATTTGTTACTGAATATGAAAGTGAGTGACCATAGAGTTGGTTAATATGCAAGATTAAAAAAGAATTAAAAAACGATGTTTTGTCTACTGGTTTTTAAATATTGTCAAAAGACTCAGGATGACCAATTACCTGTAATGCACTTGTGTTCGAGGTTACAGAATACCAGTTATTAAAAATGTGTACTTTTAAGTACACGAAATTTTCCTTATTTCTGGTGAAATCTCTGCAACTCAGCAACAAACATGTAAATATAGACCTGATTATACGATTCAAAAATTAAAAACCTATGTTTCGTCCACTGGCTTTCGAGAAACCCTTTGGAATACCAGAAAGTTGCCTAATTCTTTTTGGTTGATTTCTTATGAGTAGTATATAACATACCTTAAATACCGTTTTTGCTTATGGAAACATGTCCTCAAGTCTCCCTCAAATCCGTCAATTCACAGAACCAAAACTTTTAAGAACGTTTGAGCAATTTCTTTGTTTTATAAAAAAAAGTACTATAATACTTTTGTTGAGAGCGTCGATGGTCGTCATTCGAAGGACGGCGACTTCCGGGCATGTTTCCATAAGCAAAAACAGTATTTAAGGTATGTTATATACTAAAGGGTTTCTTTAAAGCTAGTGGACAACCACATAGTTTTTTAATTTCTTTTAATCTTATAATCAGGTCTCGCGGATAAAGTTAACCGTCTGCTGTTTTAAACTTGTTTTAATGATTTGGGTGATTTCTGAGTTTTTTACGCCGGAAAATACGAGTTTTTCGCTAAATTTTGAAGTGTTTTTCTAAAAACAAATATTGCGATGATAGTCAGCATGATAAATTGATATCAAACAGTTTATTTAATAAAATAAAACAGGATAAACACAAAAAGTCGCCATTAAATGAAAATCATCTATAAAAATAGGTGTTTTCTCATATTCAACTCGACATTGCCCTCTGGTTCACAACAATTCATGATCACCTATTATCGGTCTCATCCTAATGTTCGTCCTATGTGAAGAATTTAATCATTATTAACCAGTCAATCACCGATCGTTATTATTTTAGTTCCATTATTGATGACATTATACTGACCGTGTTTCTAATACCTCCTTCTTCCATCTGTTTTTTCAAATTAACGAATTGAAATTTTTCTTGTTTAAGCATGTCTCCCGGTTGTCCGAAGTAAACGGCAGCAGCATCATAAATAACGGTAGCTAAACCCAGTATTCCAATTACTGATCCAATATTTAATGTAAATCTTAATAGATCAAATTTACTTGCTTCACCACTAACGACAATAATTAATCTCAGTCCAAATGCTTTTGTTAACATTCTGTAAGAGCGATTTCCATGCATCCATTTTGATGCATAACGAAAATTAAAAC